TCATGTCAAAGCCACACTATTTTGGTTACTATTGCATGTGTTCTAAAATTCAGTAGTCTCGAACCAGAAGATGATTCACTTGGTAAAATCACTTGCTTTACAAACTCAGCAACCTGAGTTTGATCATCAGAACCTACAGTGGAAGGAGAGAATCAACTCTTGAAAATGTCCTCCACACTCACACCTGTGCGTGCACACACACACGCGGGTTGTGGGTAATAAGAAGTAGAATAAAATTCTGCAGTCTTGAGTCCTCCATCTTTTAATTTAGGTCCCTTTGCATCTCTATACAAATTAGTAGAATCTTTATAATTTGCCTGCTGAGGTTTTGATTGATATATATTCACCCTATAGATCAATCTAAAAAGAATAAACAATATTGAGTCCGGTTTATGAGTGTAATATATCTCTATTTATATTAAAAACATAGCCACTGGGCATACTGGTGCACTCCCTTTAATCCCAGCACTCAGGAGGCAGGCGCAGGCAGATCCCTGTAAGTTAGAGGACAGCCTCGTCTTCATAGTGAATTTCAAGATAGCCAGGGCTGCAGAGTAAAACCCTGTTTAATAAACAAGCAAACAAATAAGTAAATGAATATTCCCTCAGTAAGGTTTTTAGTTTATGGGTATTAAATATTTTTTTATTAAATCAGTTTTTTTCCTAAATGTGTGGGACTTTCTCATTTTTTAAAATTTCTTTTTATGCTGTGATAAGTTACATAAGTAAATTATTTCCAAAAATATATTTTAGCTGGGTATAGTGGCATACCTATAATCCCAAGTCTGGAGGCTGAAGCAGAAGCCATGCCACAGATTTCAAACTAGCCTGGGCTTCATAATAAGACCCTGTCCCAACAGTGAGATGAAAACAGTGGCTAAAATGGGACACGTGGAGCTGGTGATGCTTGTGCTCATCTCCTCTTGTCTGTCTGCTGGCTGGCGTCTATGACAGTCACTGTTCTGTGCCCTTCATGTTAACCTTGCTAAAACTAAACTAAAAAAACACTTTTGTGTATTTTCTAAAAGTAAACTAAGAAAGGAAACTGTATTTCAAAAGTGTGGCGGGAGGACAGCTCTAGCTGTGGTTTTTTTGGTTTGTTGATTTATTTGTTTTTTAAGATAGAATCTCATGTAGTCCAGGTTGGCCTCAAAATTGCTATGCAAATGAGATGACCATAAACTTCTAGTCTCTTGGGCCACAGGACCTTGTCCATACAGAGAAAGCACTGTGCCCCAAGTGCTCTGGGCTACCTCCCCATGCCATTTCTACCTTTTATGACAAAGTTAATAATATGGTGGGCTTTGGTTATGGAGATGAGAAGTGACTTTTTGGTTAAACTTGTAAGCCCACCTGTCTGCTAGCACTCTAAATCTTACCCTGTTTTTTTTGGTGAGTTTCCCTTTGCTGAGTTGCAAACAGCCTACATGGAAAGTAGCCTGAACTCCCCATGGTCAGTGCCCAGCAGGTTGTTCTTCATTGTTTCTACTCTGTGTGGGAACAATGGCATCTATGCTAGAAAACCCCAGCACTGCACACCAGGCTTGCTGCTCATAGCTGCCAGCTCTTTCATGCCATTCCTGAAAATCCACTAATAGCAGCTGGCCAGGTTCCATTTGTGAAATGTTTGAGAAGATAAAACAGGCCCCTGCCTTAATGGCAGAAGTAGGGTGTTGAAGGGTGGGGCAATGTTATGCCACATTCAGCATCTATAAGCATGATGGATTCTATAGCAACATGGGTCTCCATGCCTCATTAGGGTCACCTCAGGCAAGTACGTCTATTGTCCATCAAATTTCTTTGAAAGGTATTCAGTTGTGCTCATTTGTATCATCCTATATAAAAACCACTTTTTTGGGAGTAGCTGTTTCTGTTGATTTCTGAATCTTTTCCCACTGTTCTGCAGCTTCAGACTTGGGTGTGAGCCTCATCTCGTTTTTCTCCTGTCCACATCCAGGGTTAGTGCTCTGCCCTCAAAATACAATGCATACTAATTCTTTCTCTCCACTTCTACAGCCAACACTGTAGTCTAAAGATGCTTTCTCTTCCATGAATCATTAAAGTAGCTTCTAAGTTGGCCTTCTGTTGTCCATTCTTTACCTTCTGTTGGAGGGAGGGTGCCGCTTGTTCTTCCCAGCTGCCTAGCTAGCTTACACCCAAAATAATCACATAGAAACTGTATTAATTAAATCACTGCTTGACTCATTGGCTCTAGCTTCTTATTGGCTAACTCTTACATATTAATTTAACCCATCTCCATTAATCTGTATATAGCCACGAGGTCATGGCCTACCAGCAAAGTTTCAGCAGGTCTATCTCTGGGTGACAGGTCCATGGTGTCTCTGACTCCGCCCTTCTTTCTCCCAACATTCTGTTCCATCTTCCCCACCTACCTAAGTTCTGCCCTATCAACAGGCCAAGGCAGTTTCTTTATTCATTAATGGTAATCACAGCACACAGAGGAGACTCCCACATCAACCTCCTAGGACATGCTTCACCCAGTCAGGATCCTTGTGTGTGTGTGTCACCCTCATACCTCTGAGTGCTTGCCCCTGTGCTCTTTCATCCTCCATTTCTGTCCAAGCATGGTGGCTCAGGCTCTAAGGAGTGAGTGGAAGTTCCCAGGGCTAGCGCCTTGGATAGTGACTCCACACCCTGTTATCAGAGACTCAGTTAGTGGGAAGAGCCACCTTCATGTAAGAGAGAAGGTGGAGTTGGTAAGAACACATGTGGAAGTCAGTGATCAGACTGCTTCCCCAACGATCCCAGACCCTGTGCTCTCAAAATTTCCACCACCTAGGTTGCTCTTTCTCCATGTAACAGGATGTTAAGTTCAACTCTCACCCCATCACGAAAGCTGTCTGTGACCAGGTAGATTTAAGTAATTACATTTTTTTTTTAAGTTGCTGCATAACATCATGGACTTGGCAAATTCCGACGCACCTTTCTGTTAGCTCCTAGCTGGGAAGTCTGATTCAGCATGGTTGTATTCTCTGTTCAAGGCTGAAATCATTGTGTTGACGAAGTTCCTACCTAGAAGCTCCTGGGGAAATCCTCACACCTTATTCCCAGTGACAGGCCAGTTCTTGCTGTCACAGTAAAGCTAGAGTCATGGTTTCCTCACTGCTTGTCAGTGGAGGCTGTTCTTAGCACTTTGTGTCTGAGCACATTCTCCATACCTGTCCACCTTCTGGGGCAGAAAGACCTCGTGTAATTAGGTAGTATTTATTGGGAAAAAAATGTATAATTTTTATGTGGCCAACTTGAGGCTTGTTAAGTAACACAAGCTGACCTTGAACTTGCAATCCTGCCTGAGATTCCTGAGTGTTTTCCATTTAGTAATTAATCTCTTTTAAGTTCAGTGATTGTGTTCTTATTTTAGGCATAACAGCACCTATAATAGTGTTTGATCTAAGGCAAGGTATGTGTATAATTCTTTTTTAAGACCAGGTCTGAGCCGAGCAGTGGTGGCGCACGCCTTTAATCCCAGCACTCAGGAGGCAGAGACAGGCGGATCTCTGTGAGTTCGAGGCCAGCCTGGTCTACAGAGTGAGTTCCAGGATAGGCTCCAAAGCTACAGAGAAACCCTGTCTCAAAAGTGTGAACCTGACTGGCCTAGAACTCATCACTATTTAGACAGTATGGTCTCAAACTCATAGAAATCTATCTGCAGCACATGCATGCCCTGTGATGGGAATCTTCATGGAGCAATCAGAGAAATTTGACAGCCATGATAACATACTCCCCCTTCCTGCTCTTTTTTACAATTTTATTTTTGCATTTATTTATAAGTGTGCACATACACAGACATTCCACAGAGTATGTTTGGAGGTCAAGACAGCTTGTAGTAGTTGGTCCACTCCCTCCATCATGTGGGTTCCAGGGATCAAATCAGGTCATCAGCCATGATGGCAAGTACCTTTTTAACTACTAAGCCATTTCTCCATTAATCCAGAAATTATTTTATTCTGCTTTTCTTGGCAGCATTACTTACATCATAAGTGATATGTGCCTCGTACTCTAGAATATTCGTTCCTGATGATTCTCTGCTGGTTTTGTTCATTATTGTATTCCTAGCATCCAGAACACTGTTAGATTCATTGTAGATACTCAGTACATACTTAATAAATGACTTAGTTATTAAAATGATAGCATTCAATGCCAGGCGGTGTTGGCCCACACCTTTAATCCCAGCACTCGGGAGGCAGTGAGTTCAAGGCCAGCCTGGTCTACAAGAGTTAGTTCCAGGACAAGTCCCAAAGCTAAGCTACAGAGAAACCCTGTCTCCAAAATAAAATATATAAATTTATATATAAATATATATAAAAATATATAAATATATTTTATATATATAAAATATATTTATATATATAAATATATATATAAATTTATATATAAATATTTATATATATAAATATATAAATATTTATGTATATAAATATATATAAATATATATTTTATTATATATATATAGCGTTGATTTTTTTTTTATAACCATGAAGATGGGATTTTTGGAAAGAAAATGTTAACTTTAACATATGAATTATTAGACTTTATTTGCAAAGATACTATGAGAACTGTAAGTATTCATTGGTCTTTCTTTGCATGGAAGATTTCTTATTTGACTATTAAAAAGTAAGTGTGAAGAAGTAATTATCTAAATGTCCAGCAACCGCTACATACAAGAAAAAGCAAATTAACTTTTTTGCTTGCTGGTAATAATTATGTACTTCTGACTTTCAGTTCCATCTGTGAACTGTTGTAGCTTAAGAATGTCTGTGAGCTTTTAGAAATGAATACTTGGCCTTCCTGCAATATGCCTGATATTCCACCTTACTCTGGTATTTTTAAGGCTTTCCACATAATTATTGCTCACAAATATCAATTACTGTAAATCCAACAAGAATAAGTCACTTGTAAAGATACAAATTAGCATACCAGACTAGAAAATTTTCAATGCTTACTGTTACATGTTTCTTTTACTCCCTTCCTTTCTATAGACAAAACTTGCCAATGGCACTTCCAGTATGATTGTGCCCAAGCAGCGGAAGCTCTCAGCAAGCTATGAGAAGGAAAAGGAACTGTGTGTCAAGTATTTTGAGCAGTGGTCAGAGTCTGATCAAGTGGAATTTGTAGAGCACCTTATATCCCAAATGTGTCATTACCAGCATGGGCACATCAACTCCTACCTAAAACCTATGCTGCAGAGGGATTTCATAACTGCTCTGCCAGGTATGTGTGTGCTTCCTTGTAAAGTCTTAGTTAATTTGCTACAGTAGTAATGGAACTGGATCTTCCAGCCTTACCCCACCTCCCTCTTTGAGAGAGAGGAAGAGAGAAAGGGTTTCACTCTATAACCCCAAGCTAGCCTCAGATTCACTGTGTAGCCAAAATATACTTCAAACTCACTGCAGTTCTTCTGTCTCAGCGTTGAACGTTCTGGGATTTCAAGTCTTTTAACACTCCTGGCTACATTTCTCTTTTTAAAATTTTATTTGGGTTTATAGTTATATGCCAAGTCACTAATTATACCTTCTTCATCTAATACAAGAAAAAACACTGGGCATGGTAGCACTTGGGAGGCAGAGGCAGGTGAATCTCTGTGAGTCTGAGGTCAGCCTGGTCTATAGAGCGAGTTTCAGGACAGCCAGGACTACATAGAGAAATGCTGTCTCAGAAAAAAGAAAGAAAAATAAAAAAGAAAACCCAAAGTACAAAAATTAAATTCCATTTTACTTTGCTTTGTGTCCTTCTGTTCAGCCGTTTTTAATTGTTGGTTTAATCTATATACAGTTCCAAATCTGGTTTTTTACCCTTGAGTGTTACCTCAGGTATGACTTTTATAATGTGTTTTATTTTCAGTTTCTTTCACATTCTTAGATTTTAATTTATGGGAATTTTAGCAACAAAAATGTATGTTTGCTGGTTTGCTTGTTTACTTTATCTCTACCTAGTTCAAGCTGGCTAAAAACCTGCAATCCTCCTGCATCAGCTTCTACTACAATCCATGACAGAATACTGAAGTTATAGGAATTATTTATTTATTTATTTTAGTATTTTTGAAAGAATGATAAATCACTTATTTGATGTGTGTCACACATGAGAGAGATACTTGAGAGGATGCCATAATTTTTCTGCAGATTAAACCAGGATCTTGTTTATAGAGGGCAAACACATTGCTACTGACTTGCACCCCCAGTGGGGCGGGGAGGGGGTGTTGATAGGAATGAACCCTGAATCTTGTGCAAACTAGGTAAGTACTCTGTCACTAAGTAGCATCTCCAGAGTATCCCAACCCCATCTTGAATGGTGATCTAAAACACTGCAAAGCATGGGAATATGAAGTTCTTACATGGGCTACAAATTTGTTAGGGAAGTAGTTACACACTTGGTGTTAACTAAACTGTCAGGTCTTGTTTGGGGTGCTTTTTTATTTTGACTGCATTTGATGGTTATGAAATAGAGAAAATACAAAGAAAAAAGACTGGAAAGATAGCTCATCCAGTAAAGTATGTTTAGGCATGAGGGCATGAGTTCAGTCCTCGGCTGGAAGAAGGAGTGCATCTGTATTCCCAGCTCTGGGGAGGCAGATGTAGGCAGATCCCTGAGGCTCACTGGCCTCCATGCACACATATGTTGAACACACATACATGCAAAGTAAAAAATATAATTACCCAGAACTCTATCATACAGAGAGCCCTTTGTTTGTTTGTAAATTACATACATATTATAAAATTCTGATCATGTGTTTATTTCCCAATAGAACTGGGGGGTCTGTCTTTTAAAGCTTAATATATTCTCCTAGTATACTTTTATTAAATATGTTAAGGTATTTTTTTTTCCAAAGCAGGGTTTCTCTGAGTAGTTTTGGAGCCTGTCCTGGAACTCGTTCTGTAGACCAGGCTGGCCTCAAACTCACCGAGATCCACCTGCCTCTGCCTCCTGAGTGCTGAAATTAAAGATGGACACTATCACCACCCAGCTCTATAGTACTTTTTGCAGTGGTCTGACATATTATTTAATCCCTTCATTAGTCGTTTTTCCCATATAAATTATACCATGGTGGACATTCTTATGCACCCAAAGTAGAATTGCTGTATTAAAGAATATGAGGTGTTTCGGTGTGGTTTGATTTTTTGTTTATTTGTTTTGGCTTGTTTGTTTGGGGTTTTTTGTTGTTGCTGTTTGTTTTATGGGTGTGTTGGAAATCAAATCCAGTACCTCACACAACAAACACTCTGCCTCTAACCTTTACCTGCTGCCTTGAAGCATGAACTTTTTGAAGGCTTTCTCCTCCTCCTCCTTTGAGGCAAGCTCTTACTGTGTAATTGAGACTGGCCTTGAACTTTCACCATTCCTCCTGCCTCACTCTCCTGGGAGTTTTTAAAAGGCTTTTGGTACACGTTGGCAAGTCCTCCTGTAAGAATAATGTACTATTTAGTAGCCTTTTCAGGACTACATACTATTACCTTGCTTAATCCTTGCCATCTGTTTTTAAAATTTTGTTTTTATAAACCTAAATTACCTTTTAAAATTAAAGAAATGCTTATTTTTATATTACATGTAGCCACTTTAAAACAAATTGTATCTCTGTTCTTTGCTAAATAAAATAGATGTTTGCCCCCTTATAACATCTGGATTTTTTTCTAGCCATAGGCAAACAGTTTTCTTTGTAAAAAAAATCCTAGTGTACTTACTGCCATGTTCTTCCCACGTTGAGACATGCTGCTGTCTGAAGCTTAGACACTAAGAATTGAACTGGAGTCGATTGGACTAGTGTATTATGCCTAATACTGATCCCTAGTGTGTATCTGCTGACCAGGCTATCCAGTATTAAATCATGTCCAGTGCTTAACAGCCATTTAAATTTCTAAACCTACACCATCTGGCTGCATTTAGTAAACCAAACTACTTCAAAAATTGCCTATAATCCATTAATGTAATGGTTTTGTTTGGAGTGTTAGGTGAAATTACTTTCAACGACTTATTACTCTGGTACATTGTAAAAGATCAGGAGCAATTGGATGGCAGCCATTAAAAATGTAAGAACGCCTTTTGAAACTTGTGATGTTGTAGAAACTTTGAATATAAAGATTCAGGAAACGTATCATCATTGTATTTTGTATGAAAAACTATTTATTCTATCTTTAATTGGCTTATAGTCATATTCCTTTAATAAGAATTAGGTGATGGATGCCTCCATCTGCTTATGCTTAAATATGAGCATGTGATGCCGGCAAACAAGATCCATCTAAAGCTTTCTCCCCAAGTCTGCTGGAGACGTGACGGATATCCATACAGTTTTTATAATTAGAATAATGTTTAATAAGCGTATTTGGATTGTTGCTAATGGCATCCAAGTGTGTCTCCATATGATTAGGGGGAACATGCATGCTGTCAGTCCTTCTCGGTTCATGCCTGCAGAAGACAGACTGTATGACTCCTTCCCACCTTTTGAGCCTTCAGAAAACCTCAAAGATTAATAATTTTGAATGTTTTTGTCTGACCTGTGAGCATAGAACAGTGATGACAGGAAGTGTTATTGGGTGGCCGTCCTGTTTGACAGGCTCCTTTCCGCTGAGACTCTGATACATATTTGGGTGGTAGAAAGCTTTAATTGGGGAGCACACTGTTTTCCACCAGTCAGTTTGCCATGATTTCTTCCGAATGCTACCCACGTTATCTATTGGTAAGATTTTTTTTTTCATTTTTGGTCAACTGTCACTTAGGTTTTATAGCAATAAAATAGTTGGGTTTTTTTTTTCTCATGCAGTGTAGCTCATCTTCGAACTTTAATATCCCTGTGTGTCCTCTCAGGATGTTCCTGTGGCTGTGTCTGCTTCCCTCATTCCCTACCCCAGCACAGTCTGGTGTGCCGCCTCTCCCCAGTACATATGAGGCATTTCTTTCATTGGATAGCTTTGGAACTGCAGCGGTAATAGAAGCAGAATGAGGAATGGACCTAATATCAAGATTTTGGGGGGTCTGAATCACAGAGTTTGAGATGCCATCCATAGAACATCCCCTAGTGTTGAAATCCATATAGATAGATGTGAACAGTTTTCTGGACTCCTTTTTATTTTTAATGTCTTGGGGGTTTTGCTGGTTGTTAGCTTTAACTTCCTTATCTAACAGAAGATGGAAAATACTGTTCATTTCTGTAACCTTATGGAAAAATTATTGACACTCATTTTACCCAAGTCTCTACTTGAGAAGGAAACTGGCCCACACTAGGGACAGTGGCATGCCTTCCTCACACAGCATGTGCTGTTCTTTTAAAGGGCTTTCTGTGAAAAATTGCTCAGCACCCCCTCTGTTCTTTTTCTGTGCTTCCTTCCCCCTCCCCACCAAAGCACGGGGTCTGGACCATATTGCTGAGAACATTCTGTCATACTTGGACGCCAAATCACTGTGTGCTGCTGAGCTTGTGTGCAAGGAGTGGTACCGCGTGACGTCAGACGGCATGCTGTGGAAGAAGCTCATCGAGAGAATGGTCAGGACAGACTCTCTGTGGAGAGGCCTGGCAGAGCGCAGAGGGTGGTGAGCCTTTACCTTCCTCCTACCAAAGTGTTCCCACTCGCAGTTTTGGAAGTCAGTGAGGCCACTTCGCATCATTAATAGCTATTATGCCGATTTATAGCTAAAAATATGAGAGAATTGTTGTTCGTGTACTCAACAGTTTTTCTCTGACCATCATTAAATGACATATTTTGTTAATACTGCTTTGCAAAAGAAAACTGACCACCTCCTGATTAAATGAAGCATTCTGCTCTCTGGACGGAAATTGGGACTCCGCGGAAAGGCCAAGGGGCAGTTGTTAAGGCAGATGGGATAGCTTTGATCGGGTAGAAAGTATCCACGCCTGCTTCTTCCTCTTCTGGGGAAAACAGAATTATTCTCCCTCAGTAGGCTTCCTCTATTTAGTCCCCACTTCCAGTGTCTCGTTACCTTTATAATCAAAAATTAATTTTTATGCCCAAGTAAAATAAAACTATAGCTACCAGGAAGAAAAAAATAGAATTTAGTATAAATCACTGTTTCTTCTTAAAACTTGTATATTTCTTTAGATTTGTGTGTTTAATTGTGACTTCCCTAAGGCCTCATGTAGTCAGCAGCCTTCACCAGTGGTGGTGTTCTCTGCGGCACTATTTCATTAAAACTTCTTGAAGATATTTTCCTTTTTAGAGTTTTGCCTCAGAGTGTATCCCTAGAATGTCACTATAAGACTGTCAGGTATGAATAAATCATTAAGTAAGTTATTAAGTATATTTGATTTAAAAATGATAATAGACATGTGTGTCCCGTGATTGTCTTTGAAATTAACTTGGGGGGGGTCTTTTTTGCCTATAGTCATATACAACCTCCAATAGTTAGGATTAGTAAAGGGAAGACAGGTGTGGTAGTAGAAGGAAGGAGGCTGGCAAGTGTGGGACCCCTAACTCTGTAGCACGACCCTGTGTCAAACAAGTTTAAAACCGGTCGAGGGCTGCAGGTTCCCACATTGTATATACAAGGCTTTGGGTTCAGTCCTCAGCACTACAAACAAAAAACAAATCTTTTTTTTGGTGGTCCATACCTGTAATCCCAGCGAGGAAGGAAGTTGAGGCAGGAGAGAGACTGATAAATAATCACAGATCAACTTTCCTTAGAATTTTCATAAAATTACACTGGACTCTCTTGCTTTTGTATTCTTGGAATCCATGGGCTCGTGAGCATGTTGACCTCTGAGTGGTACGACAGAGATTCCGAGGTTCTGTCATTTGAGCTATTAGGAAAACTTAAAAACCTTTACTCTTAAATCCAGGTCAGGGATCCAAATGCTATCAGTCTTCTTGTGATATGACTATAAACCAGAACTTATTGGGGTTTTTTTCCTCTTGTTTTCCTCTCAGGTGTTTTTCCTATCCTTCCTTACAATGTAGAAAAGTAGAGATTGCCTTTACTTACTGACTTTATACTCTGATAGTTAGCATGCATGTTGTTCAGAGTCCATCAGCTTTAGAAATGGAGCACACAGTTGCTTACTTGTGGGAATTTTAGGATGTCTGAGAAGATTTCTCTATCCCTCAGGAAAGCAAAGAAACTCTCTTCCTTATTCAGGCCTTAAATAACAGTTTTAAAAACTCACTTCTTAGCTAAAAAGATTTCATGCGCCATTAAAATACACTTGTTTCCATCTGTGCTGTAAATGACAGTAGCCTTCCTCATAAACAGTAGCGTGTTTTGAAGGCAGGGAGAACAAGGAGTGGGGCTTCTGAGATGTATAAATGCAAACACAAAAGCAGACTTCTGTTTAGGGTTAATCCTAAACAGTGGGGTCTTTTATGTTGGTTATAAAGACAAAAACCATCAATGAAAAGATAGGATTTTAGCCTTTATTTTTTTTATTAAATAGTTTTTGTGGTACCTGGAATCAAACTGAGGATTTTATACATGTTAGGCAAGTGTTCTACCAATAAGTTAGATCCCAGTCCACTTTTTAGCCTTTTAAAGGGGTCCTTGAAGAGCGATGTCTTCATGCAGTTAGAGCCACTGTTTCCCTCCTCAACCTCAGAACCTCCCCCGCCCCCACAGTCTTTGCAGGTTGTTCAGCTTCTTGACAGATTCCCTTGCCTTTGATCACACTGATAGAATTTGATATAACTTGTTATAGTCCCATGAAGTGGCAAACACAAATACTTGTGTGATCTGTGAATATCTGTTTAGTGTCTTTGGGTGACAGTTACGATGTCTCCCTTTCTGTTTGTTGTCTTTGTGTTTGGTGGTCGTGGTGTTGAGGCCTCAGCCTTCTGAGTGCCGGGATTACAAGAATATGCCAAATTCTCCCTTCTTCAGAAGAAATAATTTATGAACAATTTCTCATTTCCTTCCTTCCATTCTTTCCTTTTTTTAAGATATTTCTTTATAGCCCTGGCTGTCCTGGAACTCACTCTGTAGACCAGGCTGACCTCAAACTCACAAAGACCCTCTTGCCTCTGCCTCCTAAGTGCTAGGATTAAAGCCCAGCTCATTATCCGTTTTTGAAGTTATTCTTACCAAGCCCTCTGTGTTAAAGCCTTTTCATGTTGTTCCTTTCCCCATACAAGTGTCTTTGAAAGTGCCTCCAATTTCTTTTCAAAAGTATACAAATAAATATGTTCTTCCTAGAATGATTGAATCACCAAGATTTAACTTCCACTTTGCTGTTATATTTCATACCTAGATAGATTTGACAGTTTGCCCCTAGGACATGAACTTTGCAGTTTTCTCTCTTAAATAACACTAAGTAATGCTCTCTGCTCAGTAATGGTAACTCTTAAAAGTATGATAAAGGACCACTGGGGAAAAGTCCATTTTCTTAATCAGGAGATCACGTTTTATGATAACATTCTAAATTTAATATTTCACATTTATCATGCATTCACATTCTCACGGGTACCAGACAATTTGCATAGAAGTGGTCCCTGTTGTCAAAGAACATACACCTTAAAAGATTTTGACTTAAAATAGATACAGACTGGAAGCCAGTTCTCAATATCTAGCCACTTCTTTTTAGCATCTTTGATTGGAGAAATTAATATACGTTTGTAAAGGCATGGTAAAGACAGTGGGATAGAAAACGAGATTAGAGATTCATTTGAATCCAATTTCCTAAGAATATAGAGAAAATACATTGAATGTGAAGAAAATCTTGCAATACCTTATAGGAACGACAAAGACTCAAAGGAAGACAAGAATCTCAGGAATGGTGGACACTGAAAAACAACAGTTAAAAATCTCATCTGCATCCAAGTGTTTACATAGCCAGACTGTTCAGAGAAGGATACCACTAAACCAGAATTATTTCTCAAAGTAGCTTACTCACCCTTTATGTTGGTGTATCAGATTTCATAGTCCTTCTTTAAAAAAAAAAACTGTTCTTTTCACTTCTCCGTTGCAGATTTTCTTTTCTGTATTAAGATAGACAGCAGCCCCAGCTGCCTTCCTGACAGGAAATCTCCTCAACTAGTTTTCAAGGTGTCTAATAGGAAGAGGGCAGGGAGAAGCCCTCCTAAAGACATGAAACAATTAATTATATTGTAATGATGCTATAGAGGCACAAGTGGATGACTGGCCCAGAGAAAACGTGATTTCTCTGGTGCCAAGATTATACTCAGAGGCATTTCTGCCTGTCTCCACTTTGCAAGGCACGGTGCCAGTGAGAACAGCAGTTAGCACACCCATAGTGGGCTTTACTAGCTTACACACCGTGTTTGGTGGGTTCTTAACTTCAGGATGAGGAATTAAATTTTTTGCCCAGCAGGAAGTGATTGCCGTTTACCTTTTTGGGGGGGTAAGGGGGTAGGGAGCACTCTAACTTGCGATGTGAGTGTTTGGAGATACGCTATTGAAAGGAAAGAGATGCTAGCAAATGCTGCTTGTGGAGTCAAGGAAATCAGGAACTATGTCTGCGTGTGCACACAGAAACACATCTGTGAAAGCTAGCCTCCTGCCTCACACATGATAGCATGTCTCCTCACCTCTTTCCTGCCTTTGTTTGTTCTATGAACTGAGGACTGCCACGTGGTCAGGATAGCCCAGTGACTGAGCTAGCATACCTACCCCGTGTGATAAATCACTAGAGGCTCGAGCTCCATAGCAGAGACATAGCTGTTACCCAGCATGCTAGGCTTCCTCTGACACTGGCACAAACTGGCTCAGGGGCCTGTGGTAGAGCAGCAAATGACTTACCTAGCAATGTGCACACAGCTCGGGGCTCCAGCCCCAGAGCCAAGGGAGAAAAGTAATAGTTATGATTATTAATCAGAGGAATTACCATTATTATCAAATGATAAAATCACTAAATATACAGAAGCCTAATCAACCAGTAGGTAGGTATACGTTTATCTGAGTATTCATTTATCAGCATCCCAAAGGGGTTGGTGCTCTGATGTTCTGTACTGGAATTAATGTTGATCAGGCTCCTTAGATACCAGGAGGTTAACACTTTTGACACGGGACTCCTAAAATCGCCTTACCATCATGCCTTGCCGGCTAGTCAATGACTGTTATGTGGAATAGTAACTGAAACACTTTGAAGAACTACAAAGCTTCCTCTAAATGGATTTATGATCTTCATTGCTAAATATTTGTTTTTTAGGGGACAGTACCTATTCAAAAACAAACCTCCTGATGAGAATGCTCCTCCCAACTCCTTTTATAGAGCACTTTATCCTAAAATTATACAAGATATTGAGGTAAGAATTGATGGATTTCTGGATGTATGCTGAGTGCTGGGGATCATTAGTATGTTTAGCTTACAAGTATTACGGAAAACCCATTAAGATGTTCGGTGTGGGTTAAAAATCAGTGTCTTTTCCCAATGATTCTTTACCAGGTTGGTAAAGTACAGAAGACTCCCAGTCAATTTTTGTGTAGCTTTAAAACCTCTGTTTACCAACAGATGAGAGTGCACGAGGGGATTACCACCTTCCTAAACACCAGGGAGACCTGGAGCTCGTAAGCTGACGAGCTTCCTTGAAAAGTTATCAGTAGGCATTGATGCTGCACATCTAAGAGGAGCACTGAGCATGCAACTTTACATAGCTTTTATACGTGTGTATCCCACAGAGCTGTGGCTCTCACCCTTCCTCATGCTGCCGCCCTTTAAAACAGTTTCTTATGCTGTGTGACCCCCAAACACAAAATTATTCTCATTGTTATTTCCCAACTGTAATTTTGCTATTGTTATGAATTGTGGTGTAAATACTCGTGTTTTCCAGTGGTCTTAGGCAACCCCCGTGAAATGGTAGTGTGAGTCACACCCCACATGTTGAGACCCGCTGCCATAGAGCCGTTGGTTTCAGTTCTGTCCTTTTCAGACAATAGAATCAAACTGGAGATGTGGACGACATAGTTTACAGAGAATCCACTGCCGCAGTGAAACAAGCAAAGGAGTTTACTGTTTACAATATGATGACCAGAAAATAGTAAGCGGCCTTCGAGACAACACGATCAAGGTGAGGTCTCTTCAGCTGAGGAGCATAGCTGTGGGAGCAAGGGTGACTGTGTTCATAAAGCAACCTAAAGCGTAAGTCCTAAATGTTGTTGCTAGGAAGTGAGAACTTTAGATTGGTTCTAGTACCAAAACCAATTTCCTTAAAGGGCAAGTGTCTGCTTCTCCCCAGAGAATCATACAAATGGATAGTTCCAGGGTTGAACTCCCTTCTAGAAGTGTGCTGATGGAAGCTGTTGTTATTTTGGCCTTCCTAATTATAGGCTACTCTTCCACTTTAATGAAAGGATAAAGTTAGCATTAGACTGAAGTCAGCACATCCAGGTGTCGGCTCTACCTGGAGGAAAGAATGCAGTCTCACCCCCTCTGCCTTGCCATTGGGGGTCCTACATGTACAGAGCAGCAAGTCTCCACAGCACCCCATTGTGACAGTGATCCTTTGCCCTCCTAGATCTGGGATAAAAACACATTGGAATGCAAGCGAATCCTCACAGGCCACACAGGCTCTGTCCTGTGTCTCCAGTATGATGAGAGAGTGATCATAACTGGATCATCGGATTCCACTGTCAGGTAGGAAATCTCAGGCTCTGAAACACTCTTTCTGTCACAGTAATTCCCTTGTCTTTAAGTTTTTATTTAATGTGAATAAATATGTATGTCTGTGTAAAGGTGTCAGGTCTTAGAGTTAGCTTCTGGTTGGTCACTTGTCACTCTAGAGCCAGACCCTTGATTTTGGAACCATTGGGTAAATTTCTACTTTGGCATGTTTAGAAAGCTACACACAGGTTTTAATTTAGAGAAGCACCGGGCATAGGAACTTTCCCTCTCTTTTGGGAAAGCACCTCACAGGAGTGCAGGAAGGGAGATTGTAACTGCAGTGCAGGCGTGCATGAGCCCTTCAAGTGTGTACAGGTAAGCAGGGCTCATTCCTTGCCAGCCCCTCCCCTGCCGTCCCCACAGTGTTTAATTGCAGGTTCCACTCAGGGAGGGGTTCTCAATTTCCAGAGGCACTGGTGATTTGATGGCACAGCCATTATGCTGCTGGGGTCCAGTGTAGCTTGAGTTCAGGGTACCAGCCTCGCTGCTGAAAACCTGCTAGGAATTTCACCTGAAGCTAAAGAATTTAGCAAACATGATACATCAAAAGTAACTTTTCAAAAGCTAGAATAAAAGGCAGTTAACTACATTGTTAAATTCTCTAAAGTTATTCCCTGCAAGTAGGAAAAGCTGCTCCTTTGACTGCTAGGCATAGCAGGCCGCTCCTTGCAGTTGTTGGCAACTAACTTTATGCGTACTGTGGAGTGCCTTACAGGGGCTGGAGCATAGGGGAGAGATGATGTTTTGTTTGCTAGTTTTGGCAATGTTGGGACTGAACCCTGGGCTTACCTCTTAGCAACACTGCAGAACAACATGGCTTTCCAAAAGGAGGGCTCAACTGAAAAGGGCAGCAATAAAATGTTTTAAAAACCAAAGTCGATGTGCAAAAATAGAGTAGTCAAAGTATTTCCATCATGACACTGTTCTCAAGCTATCCAAGGGTCCCCACTGCTATGAAAAAAGTACTTGGAGTAGGAGGGAGGACTCTTGTTGACCTCTTGCCCTGAAAAGCACAAAAATGGAACCTTGAACTTAGAATATAAGTACATAATTCTGACCCTTAGCCCAGGTGGAAAACTTAACATTCAGGGAAGTCAAACTCAAGTCTACATTACTAAGTCTGTGGAAAAACATCGTGGCCATGGTTTCTGTGGGCAGTCACTGGCACAGGTCCTACTGCTATTCTTTTTTTTTTTTTAAAGATTTATTTATTACGTACACAGTGTTCTGCCTGCATGTACACCTGCAGCCCAGAAGATGGCATCAGTAATCATTACAGATGGTTGTGAGCCACCATGTGGTTGCTGGGAATTGAACTCAAGAGCTCTGGAAGAGCAGACAGTGCTTTTAACCTCTAAGCCACCTCTCCAGCCCTCTTTTTTTTTTTTAATCATTTTTGTTGATTATTTGGGAATCTCACATCATATGCCCCAATCATGCTTACCTCCCTGTGATGTGGAATTCCCCTCTGTATGCTGTGAATACAATTGGTAAATAAAGAAACTGCTTTGAGCCAATAGCAGAACAAGGCAGAACAGAGGTAGGTGGGGAAAACTAAATTGAATCCTGGGAGGAAGAAGGCTGCGAAATGAATAGAAGCCATGTAGCCCTGCCAGAGACAGATGCCAGAACTTTACCCAGTAAGCCACGGCTACATGGCAATACACAGATTAATAAAAATAGGTTAAATTAATATGTAAGAGTTAGCCTCTAAGAAGCTAGAGCTAATGGGCCAAGCAATGATTTAATTAATACAGTTTCTGCGTGATTATTTTGGGAGTCCGGGCAACCTGGAAACGAACAAGCAGCCTCCTACAACATCCCTGTCTTCCCATGACCCCCACCCCCAAAATTCCATTTTGTGTTATCCACATATTTAGTGGAGCGTAGTCAAATACCTAGTGGCCAACTGTCCAGGGAGAATGGGTCTTTCTCCACCTGCATCTGCCAGAAGCCATCAGCTGAGGAGAGCATGTGGTGGCCAGAGCAGGATGGAGCTAGCTCTTCCATTATGCCAACTTGGCACAGCAGCAAGGGGCAGGACCAGCTTTCCCATGCCCACAAACATTAACATGGCTTCAGATGGCAGCCCCAACCACAGGCATCCATGTGGGCTTGGGTGGTAACACAGGCACAGACCCACTCTTGGTTCTCCCTATTGCTATTCTTTTTCCTGGTTTACATGTGTGTTCTTAATAGAATAATATTAGGATAGTAATCCGAAAATCTGTGACAGATTATCCGGTGATAATGACTACTTCCTCATCCTTGAGCACTATAGCTTGGCCAGATTTCCCATCTTAAGGTTTTACCCAGGAAACACCTACTTCCTGCCTTTTCTCTTTGTCTACACTGCTTCCTCATGGTTCATTCATACCCTGCCTTGGGGCTACAAAGGAAGAGCACAACAGTTGCCATATAAGTGGGGGGTGAGGAGCTGGAGAGATGGCTCAGAGGTTAAGAGCACTGGCTGCTCTTCCAGAGGTTCTGATTTCAATTTTCAGAAACCACATGGGGCTCACAACCATCTGTAATGAGATGTGGTGCCTCCTATTGACAGAACACTATATACATAATAAATAAATTTTTAAAAAAGTGGGGGTGGGCCGGGTGGTGGTGGTGCACGCCTTTGGTCCCAGCACTCGGGAGGCAGAGACAGGCGGATCTTTGTGAGTTCGAGGCCAGCCTGGTCTACAAGAGCTAGTTCCAGGACAGGCTCCAAAGTTACAAAGAGACCCTGTCTCAAAAAACCAAAAAAAAAAAAAAAAAAAAGGTGGGGGTGAGCCGAGCATTAGGGTCTCTTAGTCTCTTCTTAGGAGGCAGGTGGATCTTTGAATTCAAGGCCAGCCTGGTCTACAGAGTAAGTTTCAGGACAGCCAGAACTACAGAGAAACCCTATTTCAAAAAGAAAGTGAGTGTTTGAGAGAACAGGCACTAATGGTAAGCTCCATAGTCAAGAAAAGGCACTGCACTGAAGCCTAAGAACCATCTATTCTCCGTTATCCTTTTCAGAGTGTGGGACGTAAATGCAGGTGAGATGCTAAACACATTGATTCACCATTGTGAGGCAGTTCTGCACTTGCGCTTCAATAATGGCATGATGGTAACATGCTCCAAAGATCGTTCCATTGCTGTATGGGATATGGCCTCCCCAACTGACATCACCCTAAGGAGGGTGCTGGTGGGACACCGAGCTGCAGTCAATGTTGTAGACTTTGATGACAAGTACATCGTTTCCGCATCTGGGGATAGAACCATAAAGGTAATGGGCCACTTTTCAGTGTGTTCACAAGGTGTAATAAGGAGTTGGTGTAAAAGTGTGATCGAAGACAACTGTATACATAAGCATTATGGTAGAATAATGTAATGTTTAATTCAATTTTTATTTCTATAAATAACAGTAATGGGCTGGAGATGTAACTTAGTGGTAGCTTGACTGGTATGCCCAAGACCCAGCTTAGAAAGATACTAACAGTTATTACGAGTGTGAGAAGAGCAGGTGTAAGTTTAAGATCAAGAAAATAAACATACTGGAGCTGAGAAAATGGCCAGGCTGATGAAGTCCTTGTCGCACAAGCATTAAGGACTGATTTCAGATTCCTAGCAGCCATGTAAATGCCAGATGTGGCAACCTAAGTTTGTGATCTCAGTGATGGGCATGAGGGCAAAGATGGTAGATCCCTGGTGCTCACTGGCCAGCCGTTCTCCAAAGCAGGAAACTTCGTGTTTCAAGACCTGTCTCAGAGAGAGAGTTGGAGGAACTGAAGAGGTGACTCGGTGTGTTAAGACAGAGGACTGCCTGCTTTCACAAAGGACTCAGGTTTAGTGGTCAGCATGCAAATAGTGGCTTAAAACCACCTGGAACTGTAGTTCCCGGGGCCCTGACACCCTCTTCAGGCATCCGTGGGCATACAAACGTGGTACATACAAACCCAAGTAGACAACACATGCACATAAAAATAATAAATTTATCTCTGAAAAATCGGGTGGAAAGGAGTTCTGTACGAGGAAAACATAAGAAGCAGCCAGCTTCACATTAGTCCCCTGTTACCACGAACTAAACTCGACTCTGATTTACATCGCTGTTCTTTGAGACATTCACATTCTCTGATGACTCACTTCTGTTTTCTCCTTACCCAGTACTCCATTTTTACTGGCAGACGTGTACCGATCAACTGCTCAGTTGTCATTTTTCTCTCTCAGGTATGGAACACAAGTACTTGTGAATTTGTAAGGACCCTAAATGGACACAAACGAGGAATCGCCTGTTTGCAGTACAGAGACAGGCTGGTGGTGAGTGGCTCATCTGACAACACCATCAGGTGAGCAGCAGGTGCCCTTTCCCAGAATGGAGCCCATCACCCTTCCAGTCACCATTTGTGCACAGATCTCATGGTCTTTAACTGTCTGTTTGTTGTGGTTTGTTGTTGTTGTCTGGGTTTCGAGACGGTTTCTCTGTGTAGTCTGGCTGTCCCAGAACTGGCCTCTAGTTCACAGAGTCCACCTGTCCTGCTTCCTGAGTGCTGGGATTATAGATGTGGAACACCACCACCTAACTTGGTTTGGTTTGGTTTTGATTTTGATTTTTTTTATTCTATTTTCATATATCCATTCACTCCTCCCAGTTCCCCCCCACACACACACCTCTCCTCTCCTCTAGGTCCAATCAAATATGTTTCTTTTGTGTAGCTTCTTGCAGGTCTAAAGCGTGCCCTCCCGGAGAGACAGCACAGAAAAGCTTTTTGTTAGTGTGTTTCCTTCACCAAATAGACCTATTTCAGGGGAATTGCTTAAATAAGAAACTTAAGACAGCTAATGAAGGTTAAGGACCCTTCTTTTAAATTTCTTTCCTGTAGGGCCGGGCGGTGGTGGTGCACGCCTTTAATCCCAGCACTTGGAAGGCAGAGGCAGGCAGAACTCTTTGAGTTCGAGGCCAGCCTGGTCTACAGAGCAAGTTCCAGGACAGGCTCCAAAGCAACAGAGAAACCCTGTCTCGAAAAACCAAAAAAAAAAAAAAATTTTTTTTCTGTAGCTGAAAAATGCTAATAAATAAAGGCCATTTCTCCATGTCTCTGTTGTTGAAAACATAAAGAAAAGGAGGAAAAAAAAGATTGTTTCTCTGCTAGAAATCATGACTTTTCACTTCAGTACAATAGTTGGCCAGAGAGCTGACTGTCTGTAAATTTGAAGGTTCTACAAATCTGTACTGTTTGTATTTTTGTCCTTACAAAGATGAATGACAGAGAGGTGGTAATAATTTGGAAATTTTATCTGTCATCTTCTTTCCTTCAGTGCCTGAGGGAAGAAAGAGCTAGGCCTGATACATATCAAACCTGCCACTCCTGGAAATCAATGGAATTGGGCTGAAAGCATTAAAACTATTGCCGCCGACTTCTCGAGGTCTGGCTTTGCTCCTCTGTCGCTGGTGATTGCCCTGCACAGCACTGAGGCAGTGTCCTCCAGCAGAGAGGGAGCGACTTTGTGAGAGTGGGGTCTCAGTGACACAGTGTTTCTCACTCTTAGGGGTGACTTCTGGAAGAATTACTCTCCTCTCCCTTTCTAGGGACTGCACGTTGAATTCCCGCTGGGAGAACCTGGTTTCAGAGTTGTGTAAAGCATTGCGTTTTGAAAATATTTACAGCATTTGGACTTAAATCACACTTTTTCTGCCCAAATTATATGACAGATAGAAAATGTTATATTGAAAGTAATATGCTTTTATATGAGTGGCATTTTTATTTTATGTGTCTGACTGTGTTGCCTGTGAATAGTATTCACACCCATGTGTGACTCACACCCAAGTTGGTCAGAAGAGTGGTGGGTTCTCTGGGACTAGAGCTGTGGAAGGTGATGAACCCACCTGTAGGTGCTGAGAACCAGAGCTCCTAACCGCTCAGCATTCTTTCAGCCCCCTCTGTGAATGCTCAACGGATGTGTGAAATATATTGTAATATTCAAGACTTAGAAATGAAGCCATGTAGTTACTTGACTCAGTTTTCCTTTCAGATTGTGGGACATAGAGTGCGGTGCGTGCCTGCGCGTGTTAGAAGGCCATGAGGAGCTAGTGCGCTGCATTCGATTCGATAACAAAAGGATAGTGAGCGGGGCCTATGATGGGTGAGTTCACTAACAATTGACAAGACAAATAAATGTTAAGAGCTCAGGCTGTAGCTTAGTAGCAGAGCATGTGCTTAGCATGTGCAGGGCTGGGCTCAATCCCTAACACCTCCCTTCCTCAGAGTCTGTGTCTTTGTCCTTCCCAGTTTATGGCTCTAAAGTTAAAATATACCATTGCTTAATTGGTATTCACCTCTCTCTCTCTCTCTCTTGCTTACTGCTTCCTAAAACATTCTTTCTAGTCATTAATTGTATTTGTATTGATCATTATTTTGGCTATTAGATTCTGTATTTGTCTGGTTTGCCTTATAAAGCGAAGAACCAGACAAATCCAGCATCGCAGGCCAGGCATGTAGTGTGGATGTTCTAAGAGAGGATGTGAGAGCCCAGACCCAGACCCAGACGTCCTCCGATTCCTGGGAGCTACATTTGCTACCCATTCTTATTGCCCTGGTTTTGTTCTGTTCTTCCTTGTGTTCCCTTACGTTTGCTTTTAACTAAGACTTTTGTCCCGCTTTTAATCTTCAGAAAAATTAAAGTATGGGATCTTATGGCTGCTTTGGACCCCCGTGCTCCTGCAGGGACTCTTTGTCTACGGACGCTTGTGGTAAGAGCCTTATTGTTAAAGGGGCTGAAGAGCAGGTAGGGGAAGAAATTAAATGTTAATGTGCTGTAGAATATAGATCTGGATTTTATAGTTAGATTCTCACAAAACCTACAAAGTGGAAAAGCAACCAATACATGACAATAAAATATGTTTATATAGTGCCTTTCATCCAAAAGTGCTTTAGAGACTGTATATGGAGAGGACGGTGGCAGCTGCTTAACAGCTGCACGGTACCTCTCCCACATGTAGTGCAGGAAGTGAATAAGAATTCTGTATCCACCAGAAGCAGCAGGCGGTACTGAGGGAGAGAGAATATAATTACGCAAATTGGAACCTGTCCAGAATCTAAGGACCTGAACACCTGTACTTGAAAAAAAAAAGTACTCTGGGACTCACTGGGCCCCTGGTCAGCTCCTTAGTTCTGCATCTCATTCACTAGGCAGTGCCTCCAGCACCTCCAGTCCTAGCACCATTAGCCCCTGTCCACCCCATGCTTGAGCATCTTGACACTTGGCGAGAGAAGTGAGTTAGGAGGAGAAATGACACCTTCAAATGCTTTGTAGTGGGGCCTCATGTGGCCCTGGCTGGACTGAATTGTGCTCCTTCTGCTCCCATTTCCCTAGTACTGGGACCACAGGCCTGTGTCCACCACAGCATGAAGTTTTTTGTCACATTATAAGCCACAGGCTCAGACTGACAAATGTTACTTTAGCTAGATGTGTGTGGATCCAGAGTAAAAGAAGGAAAACTTTGTCTTTCTTGGATTTAAAGCACTTTCTTAAATTGTGTATGGTGGCATACACATGTAGCTCAGCATTTAGAGGCTGAGACAGGAGAATTGCCATGTGTTCCTGAAAGGCCTGAACTACAGATTGAGACCCTGTCCCTTAGATCCAAAAACCTAAGATTGGATGCATTCTTTGAGTATCACATGAGCTTCGCCTGCTCTCTTCATACATGTCTTCAGGTGGGTACTCTATGCACGTGTCTGTAATCACAGGCGTTAAAGGTGAGGCAAGAGGAGTGGTGGTGCACACCTTTAATCCCAGCACTCGGGAGGCAAAGGCAGGCGGATCTCTGTGAGTTTGAGGCCAGCCTGGTCTACATAGTGAGTTCCAGGACTTCCAGGGCTACATAGAGAAACCCTGTCTCAAAAAAATTAAATAAATGGATAGATAGATAGATAGATAGATAGATAGATAAATGAGGCAAGAAGATTGTGAGTTTCTGACCTGACTATATATAGAGATCCTGTCTTTAAAAAGAAAAATCGAACTTTACAAATAGGGAATGGTGGTGAGTGCTTATAACCAAAACTCAGACCTAAAGAAGGATCTTGAATTCAAGACAGGCTAGGACTGTATAGCAAGACTTGTTTACCAAAACAAAACAAAAACAGTAACAACATAAGAGTATTCCGCTTGGGGGCTGGAGAAATGGCTCAGCGACTAAGAGCACTGACAGCTCTTCCAAAGGACCTAGGTTCAATTCCCAGCACCCACATGGCAACTCACAACTGTCTGTAGCTCCAGTTCTGGGAGCTGACACCTCACACAGACATATGCAAGCAAAACACCAATACATGTAAAATAAAAATAAATGAATCTTTTAAAAAAAAAAGAAAAATAGGTATTTAAAAAAAAAAGAACATAACCGGACGGTGATGGTACACACCTTTAACACTGGGAAGCAGAGGCAAGCAGATCTCTGTGAGTTCAAGGCCAGCCAGGTCAGTTACACAGAGAAACCTGTCTTGAGAGTCAAACCAACCAACAAAGAATGTTGACTAAAATAAGCTGGGCACAAATAAATAAATGTGTGTGTGTGTGTGTTATATGAAATTTAAGAATAAGTAAAAATCAGGGGCTGGAGAGATGGCTCAGAGGTTAAGAGCATTGCCTGCTCTTCCAAAGGTCCTGAGTTCAATTCCCAGCAACCACATGGTGGCTCACAACCATCTGTAACAGGGTCTGGTGCCCTCTTCTGGCTTGCAGGCATACACACACAGACAGAATATTGTATACATAATTAATAAATAAATAAATATTTTAAAAAAAAATTGAAAAAAAAAAAAAAGAATAAGTAAAAATCAGTAGTAGCACAAGAGTGCAGGTGAGACTGACTAGTACCGATGTCGAAAGCACTTTCCAGGAATAGTAGCCATGCCTGATGTAGGCAGTGCTCCCGACCCTGATACACTAGACTAGGCTCCTGGCCTCATGAAAGCCAGCCATTAGAATTTTGCAAGTTGTTGACTGAATGTGGATAGCTTCAAATTGGTCATGGTTGGACTTGGTGCATCATGAAAATCTGTAAATGGTTTATGTTTTTATTTTATGTCCATGGATGTTTTGCCTGCATGTGTATCTGTACAGTGCAATGCCCTCAGAGACCAGAGGGTGTCAAATCCTTCTAGAATTGTAGTTATAGATAATTGTTAGTTCCATGTGGGTGTTGGGAATTGAACCTGGGTCCTTTGGAAGAGCAACCAGCATTCTTAACTGTTGAGCCATGTCTCCAGCCTCAAGAAGTTTAGTTGGCACACAATTTACCAACACCTGCTGTCCATCCCTTGACATCTGATGGTCAGAGGAGCTTGCAGGAGATGATAGGTCAGAGAGGTACCAAGAGTACTCTCCTCTCCTCTTGCCTAACCCCAGTTGATAGTGACAAGCCAGTATCTTCTTTGCCATTTTGCCTACGTAATACTGCTTGTTTACTGTGTTCCCGAGACCAGTTATTGCCAGGTATTTGAGTATTCCATCCTAACGTTAGTGAAACTGCTTCCTGTCTGTGTTTGAAACAATGACTGAGCACACCATAGCCTTTGTAGGCTCCTTTAGACATGATGCTTTTGATTTGGGGTCAAAATCATACTTTTGTTTCTGCTTCCTTAGGAGCATTCTGGAAGAGTTTTCCGACTCCAGTTTGATGAATTCCAGATTGTCAGTAGTTCGCATGATGACACAATCCTCATCTGGGACTTCCTAAATGATCCGGCTGCTCATGCTGAACCACCCCGCTCCCCTTCTCGGACATACACCTACATCTCCAGATAAATAACCCAACACTGACCTCACACTTGCCCGGGTATGAAAAGAGCTTGTACACCTGTAGGAGGTGGAATGTTGGCTGTAAGGTGCTGCTAGCTCCTGGGAGTTTCTCCCTCTCAGTTCCTTGTCTCACCAAGCCCTAGACAGCAGGAGGCATGGACTGAAGCAGGGACTTCCATGGTAGAAGCTAGCAAGTTCCAGTTCTAGAGGATTCCAGAATTCTTGTGTAGGAGTACCAATAGTTCCTTCAGTACCGTTTTTATGAAAGTACAATGACATTTGAACCAGTTGGAAAATCAATGACCCAAAAGCCTGTCATTTATAGGTCTTAGATCAGGGAGGCCTTCCAGTCTAGCAGCTCATCTGACACGTGACCAGAAATGTCTGACATTGCACATTTCCACCTTTTTTGTCTCCAGTCTCTACTCCATCCACAGGAGATTTTCCATGGTTGGTTGGTTTGTTCATTTCCAGCAGTAACATGAAGTTGATATCCTTCCCAAATCTCTAGCAGCTCTCTAAGGCAGGGCAAAACCTAAAATGCCCGGGTATTGTCTATGAGCACATCCACAGTTGGCTTCCGGTGCCATCACTGGGTCGGATGTGTTGGGGTATTGAGTCCTAGGAAGAGCGCCAGCTTGGGGAGTGTTGCCTCTGTGCCTTTCTGTGTGTCACACTCGCCTTGGTTGTTACAGCAGACATGCCTCTCACTGCACTCCTGCACCCGTCAGTCTTCCTGAGGGAAGGAGTATGTCTCTGGGGGCTCCCCTCACGTCTCTGCTGTTGGAGGAAGCATAGTTGGTTCATCATTCTTCAGCTAAGTCACACTGGCTGTGTGCTCGTGGGCGTGTAAAATTCACAGACTGTCATATCCTGATGAGTGAAATGAGTACAGAATCTGCCTTGTAGGTCTGCATGGAGATAACCATGGTTACAATGTGCCTTGTCTGCCCTTTCGCCAATGTTTGGTGTTTTCCAATGTAATAGTATTTTGTTATTGGGTGGGGGGCTCCTGGGTATTGAGTACCTGGCCTGCCTCATGTTAAGCATTTAACCGTGAAAATGTGCGCCTAACCCTCGCTGTTCCTATTCTCCCTCACTTTGCTTACATCTCTCTCCTCACACTGATGAAGCAGACATCCCCTGAGAATCTGGTTCTGTCTTTTGTGGCTCATCTAAGGTCTCTTCTTGGATGGTCTTACCCTTTCCCATGACTTTAGCTCTCACTCCAACATAGATGACTAGCAAATCTGTATCTGCAGTGCCACCCCTGCCTTAATCTCCGGGCTACATTTCCAGCCTCCACCTACACATCTGTCCTTGAAGAGACCAGGAGCACTTTTAGTATCTCCATACCCCAGCCAGCTTTCCGCCATACATACTTCTTAGAGAGATAGCACTGTGCTCCAGGACCGTCAGGCAGAGCCCACAGAGCCGTCCCTGCCTGCTCTGTTGTTGCAGGGAACAGGGGAAAGCATGCACCATCCCGCCATTGTTCCCTCTTAATCTCAGGATGTCAGAGTGCCTCTGCACAGAGCTAACCCTGTCCTCTGTGTAAGTCCCCAAGGAGACTGGGACAGAAGCACTTTGTGGGCAGGGAGCAGCCCTGGAGATGGATCCCCAAGCCTTTCTCATTGCCAGCCACATGAACATTCTTTTTGTCTTAGAGCAAGTGGAAAGTACAAGGAAAGGGGCTAATGACTGTTGGCTGTGTTTCCACACAGGACTCGTTAATGTCGCAGTATTTAACATATCTGCCAAGACCAGGGTGAACAACAACAATCACACTCCTACCCGGATTCCCCGGATGGATCAGCGAGGAGCAGGGCTTTGAGACTCCTGTTGGGACACAGTCGGTCAGCAGCTGACCAGGATGGTCTGCTCGGCACACCCGGCTGCTTCAGTGCTGCTATCAGAAGATGTCTTTATCTTGTGTGAATGATTGGAACTTTTAAGCCTCCCTTCCTGTTCCCTCCCCTTCCCCTCTGCACCTGTTTCTCTCCCATTGGGTTCCAGACAAAGATGACTTATAAATATATTTAGTGTTTTGCCAGAATCTCTCTTCCTTTGCTATTAAGCAGAAGAACTAGTTTCCCCATATGGCTCACTTCTAGGGGACAGGGGCTGCAGCTTCCAGGCAAAGAATGCCTGGCCTCCCCTGTTATTGTAGGAGTGCTCAGCACCTGGCTGGAGCAGTCTAAGCCACTGCGTGGGAGGAGACAGCTGCCTGCACATCCTTAGAGGAGAGAGAGGGACACAGACTGGAAGATCTGCACCTGCTGCCTCCTCCCCCACCTGGGTTCTGTCCCCCTTCCTCCTCTCCATCTTCAACCTGAGAAGGCATGTGCCGTGTCCTCATCTAGCATGAGGCGGATCACCCAGAAAATGGGACACTTGGAAGAGTTTGAGTATCCTAATTTCCAGGCTTTTGCTGCAAGTGACCCCGGGGCAGCGGTGGATTCATGAACATGACACTCGCCATATTTGCAGCTTTCTCTCTCCTTCCCTGTGCCCAGGGGGAGGGACAGGAATGTCCTGGGCGCCATCAGTGGTTGTGTTTGCTCTGGACTCAGCAGTCTCCTCGGTTCCATGTAGAGTGGAAAGGAGCTGCTGATTGCATTTCCTCTCATTAACAATTAGATGTGTAATAAAAAGCATTGTGCTTCATCTTAAATCACTGGCAAGGCCTGCAGAAAGGCTTGGAGTGGCCAGCGCCAGGCACCACTGCACTCTGTACCATGGCTCACATCTGTTTCCTTGACCAAGCCGGAAAGCACCCAGGCACCCATAACTGCCCAGACTGTGAGCACAGCAGCTTAAGAGATGGTCAGGAGAAAGCTGGTTCTCCATTTAGGCCAGTAAATATCTGTCAGTCTAACTGCCTCAACCTTGCACAGCAGATCCTTCCTTCTGCTTCCCCCAAACCCAGTATTTGCAGAAAGGCAAGGCTGCCAGAGGGGATCAGGGTGAAGCTTGGCACACAGGGTTACTAGTAAGCAGGAGCCTTCTCTTCCTTTCCCTCTCCCTGCCTTATTTTGCTGTCCACTTTCCCCAGCCAGTAAACTCTGGCAGTCAGTAAAAATGTAAATGACTGGACTTCCTCAAGGGCTAAGCTGGCCACATGGAAGGCAGCATTGGGCCTCTGCCAGCAGACTCCAGACACAGAGGCTCGTGAGTAAGCCTGGGAGAACTTGAACTGAGAGCCAACTCACTTTCCCCCAGCATGCATTGCCTGCTAAGGGATGGTTAAGGCATACCATTGGGCCTGAGGCCACACTACAGCCTTGCTTTTCCCTTGGAAACCAAGCAGTCAGGCTCTCATCACTGTTCCTAACCATGCATTTGAATTTAAGAAAGCCAGCTGAACCAGCTGCTATAAAAATAGAAATGGGGGCCAGTCCCAAGTGGCCTCTAGCCAGGCCATCTTCACTTCTGCAAGAGAGAGAGAAGAGAGTATCTTCATTCTCTGGTTTGCAACTCTTCCCTTACCCAAAGTGTCCCCGAGTGAATGCCGTTACATGCTGAGTCAGGTCACATGAGTGCCATTTCCTTTTCTTGTGTAACTGTAATCTCAAGTTACATCTAAGAAATATCTCTCCGTATTTGTTTCTCTTTTCCTGACCACCCACATGCTGCAGAGAGTCGTCTGATTAGCTGCGCTGAGCTCCTTGTCCACTGACTATTAATAGTGAAGGACTTTGCTGAAAAACAGGTCAGACATTAAGAGACCTAAGCTGCTTCAAGAAATGGTCTAGTGGCCATAACTTGACTAGCCCTTCAGTTATATGCTGCTTTGAAAGGTAGGAATAGGAGAACATCTGGCTTTGAGGGAGATGTGGGTACTCCTGCACACTCGCCAGGCCAGCACTGCACTCTCCTTCCGAGGTCTAGCTTTGTAGGTGTGCTCTCTGACACCCTTGAGAAGTGTGGCCACCCATCGTACTTGGGCCCGGGTGGACCCTGCGTGTTGACGCTGTTAGTTGGGTTCAGCTCTTTCTCCAGGCTGTCCTCTCTGCTGCTGATGGAAATGGGAATGAAGTTAAGTGGTCTGAGAAACTTGAATCGCTCACATTCTCAGCTCTGGGGTCATTTACCAGTTCATTGTAGAAGAAACAATCAGGTAAGTAGAAGTTCATTTCCAGAGAAAGTAAATCCCACTTACCATCTCTGCATGATTTCAGTGGGAATTGATTATCACCAATCCCCAACTGGGCGAGAATAGATGTAAAGTTTGACCTTTTTAAAAGAAAAGAGAAACAAAGAACATCTCTACACATTTAAAGGAATAGTAGACAAGAAGCTGCAAGTGTCCTGTGGCTCTGAGATGACTGTCCCCATGGTCAGTCTCTTTACTAAAATCTACCTTTCAGTGTACGGCTTGAAAGACAGCTGAAAGCCTTCTTAGGTGGATGAGCCTGTGTGCAGGTTACCCTGCTGGAGGCTGGACCAATGTGTCACTGGTGATGTCTAGACAAGGCCAAGATTCCTTGATGCTCGTGTGTGTGTGTGTGTGTGCTCACACTGGGTACATCCCTTCCCTTGAAGTGCAGTCAGAAAGTGGATGTGAATTATGGATGGGGAGCCTTTTACACTTGTCCCTTGGCTAAATTCTTTCAGATTTGTCGTAACTTTAGAGACAGAAACTGTTTGGAACTCTGTTGACGAGTAATAAAGTCTGGCCCCCCGTAGCTTGTTTTGGAACTGGAAATGACACTGAGACTCCTAAATCATTCTGTAAGAAAAAAAAATATTTTTAGCACTGCAAAGCCGGGGAGAAGGCTGTCCTCACTCATTCTCTCTCCTTTTCTTGCTGGCCTCTATCTGAGAGGCTGAACTTGACCTACGTGGTTAGCTTTTTGACTAGACGGAGAAAGCTGAAAATGATTAGGCCCATGGTGATGTTCATTGTCTTGGCATCTCCCTGAAGTAGATGGTGATACCTTCTGGTCCTGAATCTGAGACAGGTCCACCTAGATGAGTGCAGTACTGGGTAGAATGAGTCATGCTGGTACCCAGTCCCTGTGACTGCAGTCCATGCAGTGGTGATCAGTTTACAGTGTAACTTTGGTCCACACTAATCACCATCCCTATTTGATTAAATTCAGCACTTTGAAGTGCACTCAGAGACTCCCAATGGGGCCAGTCCTAGGACTCACACAGTGAGCATGGCTGGTACCAGTGAGGCAGCCATCTCAGGGGAATAAAGCTGAGCTTTATATATGATGTCAGTCTCTTAAAGCTAAGAAGAGAAACCAAAGCAGCAGGTGGCTGCCCACTTGCAGGTGGAATCTACTGCATTGCTGTCCAGAAACCCCTAATGCTGGCAGCCCTGTTTTAACAAAATAGCCCAGTGCCTGTGGTCTGACATTTCCTGGAGGCAGTTGACTTCCCAAATATATACTTCTCAACAAACTCAGCTATCTGACTTAGCTTCTGAGTATGTGTAGGGACAGAGACTGTGTGTTATCTCCCCTACCAAACCTTTCCCTTGGATGCTGAAGGAAAAGCACAACAGGGTAGACCTCTGGGTACCAAGGAAGCTGATACTTTCCCAAAGTAGTAACCCTCGAGCCCTGGCAGACTCCCTGAGGGTTCTCTGTGGACACTAGCGGGAGCAAGCCTGGCAGCAGTGTGAGCTAGAGAGCTTTTGGTTGTTCGCGCTTCGTCTCCTAGATTCTCCAGTGCTGAGTGCTTTCATTTTTGTGATTATGTTACAGTGATGTGTAGTCAATATTCCAATATGTTCACAAGCTAGGACCATGGTAATAGAGTGTGTTTGGTTTTTTAACTGTTTGGGGGGGAAAAAGTAAATTACAAGTACAAGATTAAAGTGAATTTTCTAAGTGTCTTTTCTCTTTGACCCAGCATCATAAGGATGGTTGAGTTTTCAGAATACAGTCGAAGAACTGTACAGTAGATTATTTCTTTTATGAGAAAACCAGATCAGGAATCTGTTGTGATAGCACTGGGGACACAGAGGCAAGTGGATCTCTTGAGTTCAAGACCAGCCCGGCCTATGTAATGAGATCCTGTATCAAAAACAAACCAAGGTCCAGCCAGTTGTGTGTGCTGTACTTGGGAGGCCAAGACAGGAGATTCTTGAGTTCAAGGGTACGTGGCAAGATGATCTACCTCAAAAGTAGGGGAAGAAAAAAACGTGACTGAATGTTGTAAAGAAGCAATTCGGCATCCAAGTCATTCCTGCGGGGTCATGTTGAGCCACAGGGAGGGCTGTGGTGACAGCTGGCCTTGATCTGAACTCTCCTCTGCTCTTGGATGGGGGCCTCTCCGCTCCACCTCTTGACTCACAGGTTCCCCAGCCTTGGGAGCATTGCCAGAGACTCACAAGCCTCTTGGGAATAACGGTGCTGCTCCCAAGTGAGCCTCTCTCTCTCCCCCAGGACCAGTATACAGATAGGAAAGGACTGCTTCCTCCTACCCTTCTCTGTGGTGGCCCCAGTAGGGCTCTAGTCAGAACTGATTCATCTTTGGGCTCAAAGACCTGTAAACCCATAAGCTTATAGTGTAAGCTTCCCTCAGCTGTGGCCTCGTCTTCCCTGGGTAGTCACTGTGCTCTCTAAGGTAGACTTGGGCTGTGGTCAGTGTCACCAGCCTCCACTAAGAGCTTACAGAATGTGTAGTGTAAAGTCACCTGATCTTACGCAAGTGTTAAATGCCCACAACCACATCTGTTCACTTAATAGGCAGCACCCCAGAGAGTTGCAAGGAGGGGGTGTCAGCAAAGATCTCTCATAGCTGCCAGCAGCTACTAGATAATGTTTTGACCAGCCTGACTCCTAAGCCCAGGACACAGCCTGAGGCCATGGGCCTAGGCCTCCAGTCTAGTGTCAGGCCCTGTCCCCAGGTGAAGGTCCAGGGCCTGTTCTAGGGACAGCCCTTTGGCTGCCCTTCCTAAGGCTAGGCTGGGGTCCCATTTCCCTTTAAACCTTAGGGCTGGGTAGCCAGCAATGACTAAAAAGAGATTTTGCTTCTTCCTGATTGGCTCTTGCCAATTAAGAGCATTTTATTAGGCTGCTAATTAAAGGCACTTGGTTAGCAGCAGGAGAGGCCGGGTGGGTGCCTGGTGAGATGGAGCTGAAGCCAGGAGAAATTGTTTTCCTCCCCCACGGAAGCAGATTCTCTCAGTCCTGAACCTTTCCTGCTGAGCCTACCACGCCCCTTGCTTTCAATTAGTGACTCTGAGGGGAGTGAGGTCATTACTGAGCCCAGGTCCAGATCCCCCACCACCACCTCAGGCCACAGGAGGCCCTAGGAGCTGTCCAGGTCCCCAAGCACCACCTCCAGGGAAGGAGAGGCCAAGCCCAAGTGAAGGTGGCAAGATGACAATTGGTCACATCACTTTCCTCACCAAAAGGCTCATGTTGCATATCATATGGCATGATTCCTGTCAGGAGGAGACTGTCCCCCACTCGCTTTCTAAGAATAGAGCCCCCTTAGGCCCTGAATGGGTCCAGGTTGGGGATTGGTGGCTGTGGGAATTCTGTAGCGCTGAGCCACGAGCATAACCCTGCTTCTTGCTCAGGTAGCCCTGAGTTTATTTCACCCTTTAGGTCCATCCCCTTGGATGTCCCAGCGAGGCCTCACTCAGGCAAGCCTTTCTTTCCTGCCAGAGAGGAGGACTTGGCTGTGACCCAGCACTGGGGGCAGGCACACCAGGTCATCAAGGACATCCCCTCTTCAGAACTCCCCTCACCTCTTCACTTAGCTGTAGAATTAACACCAGCCCAGGCTGGGAGAGCAGATTTATGGCTGGGCCCGCCTCCCTCCATTTAACCCAAGGCTGGCCCAGGCTCCAGACACTAAATTAGATTTTTGACAATTAGAGACTAATGGGCACAGAGCCAGATATCTAGCACGGCCTTCGTGTAATACCCACCACTGGCTAGTCCCCTCCCCCACCATCCCTCTGGTCTCCCATGGGTGGCATCTCCCCCTCCAAGCTCTGCACTCTGGTGGGTCACCTACTGCCCCCTCTTAGCCCCTGGCCCCATGCTAGTTAGCTCTGGTCATTTACTGTCCTCCTTGTCCTTCAGTCTTCTCATTGCCTTCAGGTTGCCTCCCTCCATCCCCCCCGTTTTCCCAAGCCCATCCATCTGAAGTCTGTGCCACCACCAAGGACAGACTGCAAGCCCCTTGAGGGCAGGACTTGCGCCCTGTCTCGATCCTAAATTTAGTGCTTGCTAAGTATCACCTAGGCACTCGTGTCCTTTCCCTCCCTCCCTCTTGAGCCCCTGGATCTCCATGACTCCCATGACCTCACCCTGGGGACCTTGGGCTGGGCCCTCTTTCCTGCTGGGCCCTCCACTCTTGCCAGTGGTGGTAATGAGGGTGCAGTAAGTGGCGCTGGGGGGAGCTGCTCACACTCACTCAGGCAGACTCATAGCTCTGTCAGGCTGATTGGTCCTGAGTGGAGGCACAAACGGCCCCCCATGGACACGCTGAGATTGGTTATAAAATTACAAGCATTTGTTCAGCTGTCAGTGGCTCCCCTCCCTCCCCTCTGCCTGCCTGCCAGTTCCTGCCTCCCCACCCATCCTCTCTCCCCTGGGGCCAGTCCCAACACCCTGAAGAACTGGCCAGGGGCCACCACAACATATAGGTCAGAGAGGCTGAGGCCACCAACTTTCCTCAGGACAGTCACAGCTCTGACTGGTCTCAGATGACCTCATCCTGTGCTCAGGTTTCCTAGTCTCTGAGTGTGGGTGGGGCTGCAGACAAAAAGGCCTTAGAGAGAACAAATGGTATCGGTACACCTCCGTGGGACAACCAGTGTCCTGTGCAAAAGGGAGGAGTGATGGGTAGCAAGGGCCTGCTGTACCAAAGGAGGAAGCAACAGTAGCCAGCCTGGTCAGTGGAATCCAGCTTTCCTCCATTCAGGTGGCCAGTCACCTTCCTAGTTATCAGAGATCCCCAACCCCTACCACACCTTGCCATGGTCTCAATAGAGCCTTGCTGTGCTTTCTCAGAAGCAGGCTTAGCCCCTAGCCTGGTCTCTGCATACACCCCATTGAGCCTTGGCAAGAGTCTAGATACCCCCAGCATGCGTTACTGGAAATTTCAAACAGCCCTTGGGGTATCCTGTAGCCCCAGGTATCCCTGGGGGCTCTCGGTTGGGCTTGTAATGATCATACTCCCTGTCTTCTAGCTGCAAGGGCCCTTGTCGCTGGGGGCCCTGACCTCAAGATCTATTGACCAACCTTGATACTCCGATCCAGACGTTGGTCCTTGCCTGTACCCCCAGCTGCAGCCTCAGTTCCTATCTGGATGTCCCAGGAGCCCTGTAGTCAGCCTGGATCCTTGGCTCTAAGAGCAGCTTATGGGAGCAACTGTTGGCTGCTGGCCACAAGGTACGTTCCTGCCGCTCTTCATCCGTTCTCAGCCTAGGATTATATTGCTGTAATTACATCTTTGATTAGGGTGATGACGGCTCATTGTCCAACAGTGTGAAGCAGGGCCTCCTGTCTACCATCACCCCTGTCCAGACCCCCTGCTCAACTCTCCTCTTGCTTTGAGGATAAGAAGAGGACCAGACAACTGATTCTCTGTCCTCTGAGTCCCAGGCCCCAGAGTAGGCTCAAGGTCTGATGCCCTCTTGAATCCCTAAGAGTTCCCAAAGTACTTGAGAGGCCTTGTACCTCCACCCAGGGCACCTATAAAGAGGCTGCAGGTCTCCCACTGGCCACCAGATGTCTCCTTGGTCCAAACTGACCAGGCATTGCCTTCTTCAGAGTGACCACCCACGTCCCAACCCAGGTGCCACACCATGGTCCCCAGACACAGCACATTAGTCTCAAGATTCCCAACTCAGTGGCTGGAACTCGATATCCCATGTGATTCCTGGCCTCTGCCTAATTTGCCCCCCCCCCCCACTGCCCTTAGACACACTTATGGCCATCCAGTCTGATTCCCTGGCCCCAGGACTGCCAGTGGTAGATGTGTTATGCTCCTCACGGAGGCCACTGGGAGAGGGTGGCCTGCTGGCCAGGGGCTGAAGGTTCTGGGACAAATATAAGGCCCCCAAACCCCCAGGAAGCTGTAAACCCACACCTTGGCAGTTACTGGCTGAGTTCCCTGACCTCAGTTTCCCACTTACAAAGTGGGGATAAGAAGAGTGTGCTACCACATACAGTAGCTGTCCAGATTGAACCATGAAAATAAATAAATAAATAAATAATCACCCAGAGGCTGGAAATGGTGGAGCACACCTTTAATCCCAGCACTTGGGAGACAGAGGCAGGTGGATCTCTGAAAGTTTGAGCCAGCCTGGGCTACATAGTAAGACCACCCAGGCATGTGGTACCTGTGGCAGGGCAAGATGAGAGTTACAACTTTGTGGGGAGCCATCCCAAGCACAGTCTGGCTGATGGGAACCGGAAGTGGATCTCCTCAACTCCAGGAACTGTGGGGAATGCGGAAGCCTGGGACAGGAGGGACTACCATACTGACTGCAGAGGCCTGGCCACAGCCCTACCCCGTGTGTGTGAAGCTAGGACAGGCCATGGGGAGAAAGCAGTACTGCCCTGGCCTGATACAGAGGGTAGGGCCTTGGCAGAAGAGCAAGGGAGCTGGGCTCTGAGATAGGACTGTTGAAGAGGGCGGGGCATGGGAGCTGGGTGCGCCTCTGCCTCCCACTTCCAGTTTAAGTTCCAGAACGTTCTGTTTTTCCCCACAGAGCCTCTCTCTTGCCAGGGGTGGGGCCACCAGACTCCCTCTTCCCCAGTGACCCTCTGCTCCCTCCAGAGACCCTCTCAGGTTGACTAAGAGGCCCAGGCTGCAGGGAAGAACTACCTAGCGTTAAGTATGCGCAACATTACGTATGTAT